TTTCAAATTTCTTAAATATTAATGAAAATAAATACAATTATATCGGCTTTCCAAGATATCGGCATCGGCTGTCAAAAAACCAGTATCAGTCGACCACTAAAAGTCATACAGTTTTGAAACAACATGATGATGAGTAAATGACGACTGAATTTTAATTTCTGGGTGAATGAATATTTAATCATCATCTAAAGATGTGGACACAAAGTGAAGTCTCTCATTGTGTTTGATCTTGAAACATGTCAACATGAAGGGCTGTAAATGACCTCAAAAGCCCGCTCTGTTTTGCTCAAGGGATCGATTCTATGCCATTAGACTTGTGCCGGTATTCGGTAATGCGATATATCACGGTAATGAATATGCACGATATTGTTATCGTGGACACTTCTAAATACCGTGAATAATTATATATTACAAATTATTCTGAATTTTGAATGCATTTTAAGAATACTTTTCCCATCAACTGGTCAAAATGCACAACACCGCTGTATGCTGCGTGAAAGACGCGTGCGCACTCTGATGTAAATAAGCATGGACGAGAAGCATATGGCGGAACATGTGAGAGATGCTCTGGATGAAAGCGCACTTTCACTCGGTGACAGCAGATGGCGCTAAACTGCATAAATAATAATAATAATTCATTTAAATGCAGCTGTTACCCCGGAAACCCTGTAAACAAATCAGCTGCACTACTTTCTGTTTCTAAATAGTTTTTAAATTATTTAAACAGCCATTCAGATTTGTGTATTTGCTATGATGTTCATCACAGAGCCAACTACTTAAATATTTAGACTTAATATGCTATTTATTTTCTAACTTTTTTTACATTTTAATCTGGACTACAACATGCCCTAGATATTGTTTGCAAGTGTTTTGAAACACGTTGTTGAAATCGAAAGTTGCAACTGTGTTATTTAATGAGCTAACATGAACTAAGACTTGTATTTTTTTTTAACAAAGATTAATAACTTCTGTAGCAAATGTAGCTATTGCTCATTGTGAATGTTAATGCATGAACTAAGGTTAACTAATGAGGTCTTATTGTAAAGTGATACCTATTGGTCTTTATAGTTCTTTTGCACTTTAATCCGTGTAAAACTTTTAACTTTATAAATTTTATTGCATTTAAATGTTCAGTTATTTTTGTTATAAGAAAAAAGTTATTAAACCTGTTATACTGTATTATGATAGCACTTTTTTTTAAATCTAAATTTCAACATTGTGATAATACCGTATACCGTGATAAAAGCATTAGCAATTAATCGCAACATGAAAATTTTATACCGGCATATCCCTATATGCCATACAACTGCCTGAAGGAGAATTCCAAAAGAAAAGCCCTTGCTTTAGAACCCACAATACCCAATCCAGTTGACACACCACCCTGCACCCTTTACTGTCACAAAATGTCCATCAAAACTTGCAGAAAATTACACTTAAGCATCTAAATGGTATAAAAAGCCTCTCACCTTGAAGTTGCTGGAGTTAACCCAAGAGGTGGCGATACCGTCCACCATTTTATCCAGCGCTGTCTGGTCACTCTCCAGGTCGTGACACTTGTCTGCATCTGTGATGTAGTCGATGAGCTCGGGACCCATCTGCAACCTGCGGGCCACATCCTTCTGTAGCACCTGGGTCAGACAGTACTCCATATTGGGCTCCATGGCCTATGATGTCCTGCCACCACCCGTGTGGCAGTGGAGAGGAAAAACTAAAAAAAAAAATAGACTTTTAGCGTGTGCAATCCAGGCAAAACAAATGCACACGCTTATTAATATCCTGTGTTGATGAACCACAGTGCCACAGGCTGGCAAGAAGCTGAGCGGTAGGGATGTCGACTCGGGAATGCAAACGATGCACCATATGTGACTAGACAACAGCTGATGAGGACTGCAAATTCTCCTTTTTGTCCCTTTAGGAGGCAGCCAAACCACTAGCAGCAGCAGAAGCGCTCTCGGCTGCAGTAGAGCAGCAGGAGTTGTGGTAACTAGAGCAGGACAAAGAGGGTCCAGCGGAGCATTGCTTCATAATTCAGAGGTCCTCCCTGCTCAGGATGAGAAAAGAGAGCTGTTAGCTGAGTACAACCTCTGGATATCAAATGCCAGTGCGGCTGGACCTGTATTTTTTTTCAGCTCAGATCAGCAGCCACTTATGAGAAAAGCAGAAAAGCCCTTTGATGGTGACATAACTCAAAGTCCGGCTTGCATTCTCTCAACTATTTATTTGCTGACCACACATCAGCTGCATGGCTTTGTGGGATGCAGCAAAATAGGAATTCCACTCATATTACAGGGGTAGTTAATGAAATGAACTGGTCTCCATGTAATTTTAAACCCATTTGATGTTAAAGGTACACGCCACTATTTTTGAAAATAGGCTCATTTTCCACTAGAGTTAAACAGTTGAGTTTTACCGTTTTCGAATTCATTCAGTCGATCTCCGGGTCTGGCGGTAGCACTTTTAGCTTAGCTTAGCATAGTTCATTGAATCTGATTAGATCGTTAGCATCTCACTCAAAAATGACCAAAGAGTTTATATATTTTTCCTATTTAAAACTTGACTCTTCTGTAGTTACATCGTGTACTAAGACCGACGGAAAATGAAGTTGCGATTTTCTAGGCCGATATGGCTAGGAACTATACTCTCATTCCGGCGTAATAATCAAGGAACTTTGCTGCCGTACCATGAGTGCAGCAGGCGCAATGATATTACATAGCACCTGAAAATAGGCTTATTGGAAGTTACCTAGCTGTGGACTATTTTCAGGCGCTGCGTAATAAGACTCAAGTTTTAAATAGGAAAAATATAGAAACTCTTTGGTCATTTTTGAGCGAGACGCTAACGGTCTAATCAGATTCAATGATCTATGCTAAGCTACAGTTAAAAGTGCTACCGCCAGACCCGGAGATCGGCTGAATGGATTCGAAAACGGTAAAACTCAACTGTTTAACTCTAGGGGAGTTGGAAAATGAGCCTATTTTCAAAAATAGTGGAGTGTTCCTTTAAACAAAAAGGACAAAAACATGATAAAAGCACCATAACAGCAGTCCATATTCCATACTGCCGTCACATTAGCTAAAGTTAAGCAACATTTTGCAAATAAAGGTTCATTGTCTTTTGTCAATATTGTAGCAAAGTCACTGTATAAGTGACATTCACTCAATAAATGAATTATTGATGTTAAACAACAATAATTTGAGGATCTGTAAATATACAGTAAAATTATTGTGCAGAAATTATTATGCACTAAGCAAACTGGAAACTACTAGGTAACGTAAAGTCTTGGCTGTGTTACACAACAGTAATGTCATCACTAGGATACTTGCCTCCCTACTGCATTGAGAAAAAATCTGCTAAGTCATCATGGGAATTATCTGGATGCAATCACATTTGGTCACCGCAAAGTGTATTACTCTGATAAGCAGATTACCTGATGCCCGGACTCCAATTTTTCTGAAAGACTTCATGAAATTAACAAAAGATGCACTGTTAATTGATCAGGGCAGAACAATAAAAATTAGGGCTGCACGATATATCGAAATTATCAAAATATCGCAAATGTGCATATTGCAAAATGCATATTGCAATGGTTTGCAATAAATAAGTGACATCAAATATTTCAAAAAGTCATGTATGGTCAAGGTTTTAGGTTGCTGCAGATAGTATAGCATCTGGGATGCGGATGTTAGTTGGGATATGTGTATGTGTGCATGATAGTGTGCCTGCTCTGACAAGACAATCAACAAGCCGCGATGCTTTCATAGTGAGCTAATCTGATAAGATGAGCCAGTCTAAAGGTGGGTCTCACACCAGACGAGAATCGCAACGCCGCGTCTAGGACAACTCACAGTAGGTATCGCACAATGGATGCGTCACGTTCAGTTCAAGACAACAGGCAGTTAATCTAATCACCAAACAGACAAATGTTCACTTCAAGAATGAACAAAACAGAGCATACCAAGTGAGTGGCGAGGCAGGATTTTTAACAGCGTCCTGAGCTGCCGCGGACAGTGTCTGAGTGGCGCTGCCAGTGTGATTACAACACTCATAGAAAACTACGTGTTAAAATTTTAGTCGCTTCTCGTCCGATGGGCAACCCCCTTAAGGCACCTGCAGCTGCTGCCAACAATTTAGTGCCAAAACAAAGATGCACCTCAAAAGGATTTTTCGGCAGAAAAATCTTCAAACACAGGTGAATTAACCCTCGTTCTCAAACATAAGCAACAATCCATAGCATAAGGCTTTAAAGGGGTCATATGATGCGATTTAAATTTTTCCTTTCTCTTTGAAGTGTTACAAGCTCTTGGTGCATAAAGAAGATCTGTAAAGTTGCAAAGACTAAAGTCTCAAATCCAAAGAGATTTTCTTTATAAAAGTTAAGAGTCAACCGCGCCTACCTAAAATGGCGTTCTAACACGCCCCCACATGTCTACGTCACGATGTGGGAAGATTTGCATAAAGCCGCTTAAATATTCACGCAAAGAAAGGCGGCGTAACTTTTAGTCTCGCTGTAGTATTGTTGCTGCCGCCATGTAGTGAAGGCACCGTGTTTTTTGTTGTGAAAGTGAAGCCGCTTAAATATTCACGCAAAGAAAGAAGGCGTAACTTTTAGTCTCGCTGTAGTATTGTTGCGGCCGTCATGTAGTGAAGGCACCGCGTCACTTTGTTTGGCCTTCCAAAAGAGGACGATATCCGCTTCGTCATGCCTAGAGCTGATCCGTGCTGGTCGCTGAGGAAATACTTCAACTTCATGCTGTGGATCACCGGATCGGCTTTCACCGTAGACGAAACGGAGTCCAGCCCGCGGTCGTCACATGTGGTTGCTGCAAGCCTGCCGACCGCTTCTTTGTCGAATCCCCCGGCCGCACCGTTCTCAAGCCTGCAGGCCTCCACTCAAGGCCGCCGTGTGTGACGCTGTGTTTCGTTGTGAAAGCGAAACTACTGCAAAGAGGAGAAACAATAATGTACAGTATGTGGAAAATAATGTGTTTTTTTTAACCTTAAACCGCATGAACACATTTCATTACACCAAATACACAAAATAATGTTCTTTTTAGCAACATCATATGACCCCTTCAATGCACGATTTGTTTTATGCAACAGTAAACATGGCTGTTCACTTTCAGAAGTTGTAGCGATGCTTTCTTTTCCCTGAAATAACATATGTTGGTTATGTAATTTTTTTAAAATATATTTAAATATAATTTAAATTGATTTTAGAAAAATAAATATCGTATCGCATATTGAATACCACATTTATTTATAATATTTAGCATGCTATCTCATATCGCTTTTTTTTTTTCAATAACGCACAGCCCTATTAAAAATTATGAATGTCCTGGTCACTGAGGTACATTAGTGTGTGTACAGTGGAGTACAAAAATACCGGTTTCAGGATCCCAAAATAATGTAAATACAATAATAATAATAAATTAATTTTAAAAATGAAGAAAAATTTCAATGTAAAATAAATAAGAAATATTTAAGATTCTGCACACAAATGCTCTTTATAACACTGTCAAATAAAATTGATCATTAGGTTTTGCACAAACTAGCTCATGCAGCTCATCTAATCAAATACAAACAAATTTAAACAAATCGAAAGAAATCTCTTTTAAATTAAACTTTTTCCATGCAAATTATTGTGCATATATTATGATAAAATTGAGAAAAACGTAAAATAGAATGATTCACCGTTGATCTCAGACATTTGGTCCTCACTGTATGTGTTTTCTCTGTCTTTACTGGCACAAGCTGTTTTGCTTTTGCTTAGTTTACACTACAAGTCTGTGCCTGTACTTCACGTATCTAAGCTACAGTACACAATGGTGGCAGGAGACCTTGCCTAGTCTCCTAATTCTCCATAGATCAGAATCACAGGAGTTCATCATTATTGAACTGTCATGTCACCTTAATGTAAAACACACACATTACATGATAATTCAGGTCAAGCATGATTTACCTGTGCCTCCCTCAAACCACACATCACAGGCCTCTGATCACAGATTAATTCATCTCTTTAGTGTTTAAGCATTAACACGTCAATCGGTTTTAAAACTAGATAACTAGTAAATAAACTAACCTGCTGGATCATGCAATAACCTAATTACTCACCAGTACTGGGTGGAAATCTGATTGCAATTCAAAGCAAAATCACCGTGTATATACAACAGAACGAAAGAAAATTAATAATCAAAACAATACTCAAACAGAACATCATTTCAAGTGAATGACAGATCCTACATGTGCATCAATGTAAATATATTTACACAGATGCACACGCAGTGACTGTCATTCACCCTAACGTAAATGAGAGGCTTTACTCCGGAGTCCAGGCTTTAAAATACCTCATTGTCTTTTATATACGTTAAAATTTCAAATATCAACCCTCTTATGATGAAATCCATATCCGTATTTCATAACTAAGTATTTTCAGATTATGTCTGGATGAATTTGTTTCTTTTTCATTGATCATCTAGCCAGTTATGCTAGCTCTCACTAGCTGACCGAATAAACTGTAAAAACTCCGGCGATTTACACAAAACCAGTACATGGAAACGACAAGCTTGGTTGAAATAATAGGTTATATACTCACTTTGCCGAATGTAGCGGTGGTTTCAGTGTGAAATGACACGGGTTAGGTTATTAAAGGTAAACGAGGTTTGTCTCTCTAGTGCTGCTCCTGTGGACACAATGATGGAGCCGGAATACGCATGCGCTAAACACCTCTGTTCTGTTACTGATTTAATGTAAAATCCGTTTACAGTTTTGGTACAAACTTTGCACCATGACAAAAAAAAATCATTTTATGCCATTATTATTGGTAGCCGTTGGAAAACAACGGCTAGCTTGTGGCCCTTTATTGTGTATGTACAGTATGCAAGTCATTTCTCTAACTATAAGCACCTTATTTTGTAATTACCAATTTTCTGCCCTTATATTTAGAATGTTATTCTACACCGTAGCCAACAGATATTTTGTTTACATCCGCATATTGGAAATCCTCTTGTTTCCCTGTCTCGCAGCCACATGGTAATTTTTCCTTGTGTAGCCTATCTAAAACAATGAACCTTCTTGGCAGGCCATTTTAACATTGATTCCTAAAAACTATCTACCATCAATTTGACACTAATGGTGCGTTCAAGTCATGCACATGAACACCACCACAAAGTCGTTATTACGAGTGGGAAACTCGAAATTTTCTTTAAAGGGGTCCTATTACAGGTGCATCTCAATAAATTAGAATGTCGTGGAAAAGTTCATTTATTTCAGTAATTCAACTCAAATTGTGAAACTTGTGTATTAAATTAACTCAGTGCACACAGACTGAAGTATTTTAAGTCTTTGGTTCTTTTAATTGTGATGATTTTGGCTTTTTTTTTTTCAATAACGCACAGCCCTATTAAAAATTATGAATGTCCTGGTCACTGAGGTACATTAGTGTGTGTACAGTGGAGTACAAAAATACCGGTTTCAGGATCCCAAAATAATGTAAATACAATAATAATAATAAATTAATTTTAAAAATGAAGAAAAATTTCAATGTAAAATAAATAAGAAATATTTAAGATTCTGCACACAAATGCTCTTTATAACACTGTCAAATAAAATTGATCATTAGGTTTTGCACAAACTAGCTCATGCAGCTCATCTAATCAAATACAAACAAATTTAAACAAATCGAAAGAAATCTCTTTTAAATTAAACTTTTTCCATGCAAATTATTGTGCATATATTATGATAGAATTGAGAAAAACGTAAAATAGAATGATTCACCGTTGATCTCAGATATTTGGTCCTTACTGTATGTGTGTTTTCTGTCTTTACTGGCACAAGCTGTTTTGCTTTTGCTTAGTTTACACTACAAGTCTGTGCCTGTACTTCACGTATCTAAGCTACAGTACACAATGGTGGCAGGAGACCTTGCCTAGTCTCCTAATTCTCCATAGATCAGAATCACAGGAGTTCATCATTATTGAACTGTCATGTCACCTTAATGTAAAACACACACATTACATGATAATTCAGGTCAAGCATGATTTACCTGTGCCTCCCTCAAACCACACATCACAGGCCTCTGATCACAGATTAATTCATCTCTTTAGTGTTTAAGCATTAACACGTCAATCGGTTTTAAAACTAGATAACTAGTAAATAAACTAACCTGCTGGATCATGCAATAACCTAATTACTCACCAGTACTGGGTGGAAATCTGATTGCAATTCAAAGCAAAATCACCGTGTATATACAACAGAACGAAAGAAAATTAATAATCAAAACAATACTCAAACAGAACATCATTTCAAGTGAATGACAGATCCTACATGTGCATCAATGTAAATATATTTACACAGATGCACACGCAGTGACTGTCATTCACCCTAACGTAAATGAGAGGCTTTACTCCGGAGTCCAGGCTTTAAAATACCTCATTGTCTTTTATATACGTTAAAATTTCAAATATCAACCCTCTTATGATGAAATCCATATCCGTATTTCATAACTAAGTATTTTCAGATTATGTCTGGATGAATTTGTTTCTTTTTCATTGATCATCTAGCCAGTTATGCTAGCTCTCACTAGCTGACCGAATAAACTGTAAAAACTCCGGCGATTTACACAAAACCAGTACATGGAAACGACAAGCTTGGTTGAAATAATAGGTTATATACTCACTTTGCCGAATGTAGCGGTGGTTTCAGTGTGAAATGACACGGGTTAGGTTATTAAAGGTAAACGAGGTTTGTCTCTCTAGTGCTGCTCCTGTGGACACAATGATGGAGCCGGAATACGCATGCGCTAAACACCTCTGTTCTGTTACTGATTTAATGTAAAATCCGTTTACAGTTTTGGTACAAACTTTGCACCATGACAAAAAAAAATCATTTTATGCCATTATTATTGGTAGCCGTTGGAAAACAACGGCTAGCTTGTGCCCCTTTATTGTGTATGTACAGTATGCAAGTCATTTCTCTAACTATAAGCACCTTATTTTGTAATTACCAATTTTCTGCCCTTATATTTAGAATGTTATTCTACACCGTAGCCAACAGATATTTTGTTTACATCCGCATATTGGAAATCCTCTTGTTTCCCTGTCTCGCAGCCACATGGTAATTTTTCCTTGTGTAGCCTATCTAAAACAATGAACCTTCTTGGCAGGCCATTTTAACATTGATTCCTAAAAACTATCTACCATCAATTTGACACTAATGGTGCGTTCAAGTCATGCACATGAACACCACCACAAAGTCGTTATTACGAGTGGGAAACTCGAAATTTTCTTTAAAGGGGTCCTATTACAGGTGCATCTCAATAAATTAGAATGTCGTGGAAAAGTTCATTTATTTCAGTAATTCAACTCAAATTGTGAAACTTGTGTATTAAATTAACTCAGTGCACACAGACTGAAGTATTTTAAGTCTTTGGTTCTTTTAATTGTGATGATTTTGGCTCACATTTAACAAAAACCCACCAATTCACTATCTCAACAAATTAGAATATGGTGACATGCCAATCAGCTAATCAACTCAAAACACCTACAAAGGTTTCCTGAGCCTTCAAAATGGTCTCTCAGTTTGGTTCACTAGGCTACACAATCATGGGGAAGACTGCTGACCCTTTTCAAGAACTACAACGAACGGCTTGTTTGGACTACAGCGTTTGTTTTCCGGGCTTTGTGATATCACAAAGCAGCTCATTGGAATATCATTACAAAGAATTCCCGCCTACAGAAATTCGAATGGTTGAGGGGTGGGGAGTGAGTGCATCAGATGAGACGAGGAAGAAGAAGTGCTGCTGCAGAGTTAGTGCATCAGAGAAAACGAAGAAGAGCTGCTGTGCTGTAGCTTAAAATTTTCGGCATGTCTAGAACAATTCTTACAAGTATAACACGACGTAGCTGGGCGCCGCCGGTAATGTATTTGAATTGACATTGAAAAGACATGGCTCGACGCTGCGCTTCTCGTCCGGTGCACGACCGCCTGAAATGCTGTTTTCGTTTGGGCTTCCTAAAGCAGATGATGTCAGGAAACAGTGGTTGCAATTTATTTTTAACTCTGTCCCTGAGCATTATAACCCCAATTTGCTATTGTGTGCTGTGCATTTTACTGAGGACAGCTTCCACAACACGAGGGAGTACAGTGCCGGATTCGCCCAAAAAGCTTTGTACTGAAACACCATCTAAGCTGTTTGCCAATCACAACACTGGGACAGCTAACCAATCACAACACATTTTGTTTTTCGGAAGGTTGACCTTCATCAAAGCCGGAACTAATCGAGGCGTTTGTGCCAGCCTGGGGAGAAACGTATTTTAATAATGTAAATTATGTGAAAAATAATGTGCTTTTCGAACCACCAAGCATGAGTGCATGTGTTAGTACACCTCCAAAACAAAATCAAGACTTTGTAAAAGAGCATAATAGGACCCCTTTAAGCCCAGAGTTTCCATGTTTTCCAAACATGCCAGAATCGATGGATGCAACGTCTGTAGTTGATGGTAAATTTTTGTTTAAATTGATAGTTTAGTTGTCCTATCCACCTTTTTCTTCAACGCGGAAGTAAGCCTATGGGTGAGACTTCCGGTTCATTAGCCGCTATAGGTAAATAACGAGGAGAATAACAACGTGCAGTAAACGGTAAAACTGTTTGCACTACAAACCAGTGTGTTCATAATTTCAGATAATACATTAAAATAATATGATAAGACACACCAACTTTCAATATCAAGCAGCAAAACGAACTGTTTTGCTCAGCTAAAAATAGCTGGACGGAGTGGACGCAGATGAAACCGGAAGCCATACCCATATATTTTCCAAATGGCCGCGCCCATTTTTACGACAAGAAAAAGGTGGATAAACTTAAATTGGTCATGTACTTGTTACGCAGCTGAAATTCAAGTAAAAAAAAATGCAGACCCTGTTGTATTTTCTTGTAATTTATTAAAAGGTACACCGCCATCTTGTGCCGGCTAAACTGACTTGAGCGCACCTGACGTCGTAATTACGACTTTTCAACTCGTAAGTACAAACGTCCCAGGAGGACTTGAACGCAGCATGATAGCCCATTTATTTTTAATAGCTAGCAAGTATTCCAATAGCAAATAGCATGTTTTTCGATTTTTTTTTAAAACTAGTTTAAGGGTTAGTTCACCCAAAAATAAAAATTCTGTCATTAATTGCTCACCCTCATTTTGTTTCAAACCCATAAGACCTTTGTTCATCTTCAGAACACAAATTAAGATATTTTTGGTGGACTATTATTAAACTATTCCTTTAACAGATATTAGTTATTAGAAATTATTCAAATATGTATTCAAGTTGATTCTGGTAACCATTTTTAATTTTCCTAATAAGACTTCTATATAAAATTGTCATTATCTAGAAGTCATTATGATTAGTCGTTACATATCACAAATTAAAAAGAAAAAAAATAGGGAGATACATACTTCTCTATATTGCACTATAAAAATTTGAAAAGGAATCAGCAACAGTACAAACTAAAAAGAATAGTTCAACTCATTTGGGCAATTTGACATTTGCCATTACCCACAAAATAGTTGAGATATATACAGGATAATAATACAGAACCTGTTTAACTAGTTTAAACAATTAATATTATTACTGAAATTAATATATTACTGTTGGTTCACTTAAAATAATAAAACACAGACATCAGTACATTTTAAGCAACACATTTTCAA